AGGGATGCGAGGTCAATGGTCTAACGACTACGGCATGCACGACTATGAGTACACCCCCCCCTCCCTCTCGTTCATTTTTCACTTCGCGGCATGTAGGTGTGCAAAAAGCTCGGTCAAACAGACGCGGCGATGAGGCACTTTACGATCGCTCTTGACCTCCACAACAAGGTGAGGTGTGAGGGGGGCGCAGCAGGCAGGAGTTTGGTTGCACGGGAGTTTTCAGCTGTGCGGCGTGTTTCCGTCCACTCTTTCCCTGTTGTACGCTTTTTTTTAGATGCGCAACCCGGAAACTGTTGTGCGCAGGCTATGGTCTCGTCTTCTTGTGGGTATTTCTCTAGCACAGCGGTCGTGTTTGATTTAGCGATCCTCTGCTGTTGGCATGTTTGTATTCGCGGTATGTGAGACCCATTACCAGTGTTGGTGTTGGTTCCTAGTTGGTGGTTCTCTTTGTCACTTGGAAGCCGGGTTGCTGCACAGTTCTGAGGCACACTAGACGGGGCTCATGTTCAGCCTATCTGGTAGCGAGGGCACGGGAGGCACGGGATCTCCACGCCCTTTTGTGCCACTAACCTGCTTGTCCCACTCGATCCCTTTCGGCGTCTTGCGTGTTGCCAGTGACCGAACAAACATTATGACGATCGATGGCGACACTCTCTTCTAAATCCTTCCATACCGCCTCCCCATCCATGTGGGCACATCATGACGCCACTCCTCTCTCGTCTTGAACCTTCCCTGCCGCCTTCCCATGGTTCGCTTTCGCCATGGACGTGTGTGTGTGTGTGCCTGTCAGGACAAGAACCTCATCAAGGCTGCCGTCGATAGGCTCAACGACCCGGATATGGACGAAGAGGAAAAGTTCTAGCCTGCCACCCAGACGCCTTGGCTGAACCACGGCGACAGGTGTATGCGTGGTGCATGCATTTTTTCGGGTTGGCCGACCACGACCGAGGGCTCTGCTTGTTGTCGCTTCGTCTGATGCTTCCTGGAACGGCGTATGCTTTAACTCTCACCACGTTGCACTACTGTGCAGGGTTCTTCGTTCTCCCTGGGATTTTACTCCTCTGTGCACTAGTTTGAACGGCCTGTGTCGCTCCCATCTCAGGCTTACCGGAAACGATCGGCGTATGATGTAGCCGACAGCACGTCAGCACCTGTGATGATTTTTCGTCCTCCGGTTGGATTTTACTCCTCTGTGTGTAGTTGACCGGATTTTTGCTACTAGCAGGGGGGGCTGTTATGTGCAATACCGGTAGTATTTTGAGAATTCGCGGCCTCGCGCACAACTTGGACTTTTTCCTGGGTGTGGAGAAAAGGGGCCAAATTGTCAAGTCTCCCATCAAGAATCGATCCTTTGTTCGAGCACCGTTGTCCCGTCGTGCATGAGAGGACGTACTAAAGCGGTGAGTGGCATGACGGGGCGAAGTGACAAAGCTGAGAAAAAGTGCAGCAGCGCCGAAGTTCCGCACAGATCGGTTAGGGGTGTGCACCCTTCTTGCAGCGAGAAAATCAAGGGACAAACAGATTTACAGCTGGTTCGTGGTAGCGTCCGGCACGCCTTGCCATTCGGTTGGCAAGTCTCATTACGAGAAACTCAAAAGGACAACCGCGGTAGAGACTTGGGGAGCTGTGCGCCAGACAGCTACAGCATCAAGCGTGTGCTTTTATGTTGCATTATTCCGGCCCTGGAAGATACCATGCGAATAGCGGTGCCGTCGGCCAAGACAACCATCATCATCCTCCCCATGCGATTCGCCGACAGAACGAAAAGAGCCAGCGTGGCGCGCATTCAAAATCTGAAACCGATCGGAGAGGATGCAGTTGTACCTCAAGCAAGACGCCGCTCAAAGACCTACAGCAGCTGTCCTGGAACGCGTTGGCGGTATGTCTAGCTCCTGCAGGTAGGCTGCTACTCTGTCGGCTTCCCTCTGTACCTTCAACACTCGCAAGAACGGTGATTTTTGAAATTGAGATGTGAAAGGCATTAATTGGCGCGTGCGCCGGTCAGTCTTGGTCTTTGTGTTTCTACTGTAGGCACAGACCAGCGAGAGCGCACTACTATTGTATGAAGGTGATCACCATGCCAGGACAGATCGGCATCGGCGATTTGGTACTCCTCGTCTTGTCTCACCCCTAGGTTGCATGGTGTGTGGAGTGTATCATGTCGGCAACGCGGATAGATCCTTCGAGCTAGACACGACACCTCTCGAGCCAGGCCTGCCGCTGCATATACCAGCGAACACACATGCGGAGACTCTCGATGCCAGTGCCAACGAGTCGAATCCCACGAGAATTATCGCAGTAGAATCAAAAACACAATACAAGGCAAGTTCAACGCAAGGTGTAGTCTAGTTCACACAGCAGTGTAGGCAGGGAACAGACAGCAGGCAGCGGAGGATCGGTGGATCGATTTTAGGGAGCACACGGCTTGTATTTTGTGGGGTGGAAGGTACCATCCACCGCCCCCCGCCCCCGTGACCTCTCTCTCTGCATGTCGGGCACCATCGCACCATCACACCAGTTGCGGCAACGAGAGGGGATTCGTTGGGCAAGAGGTGGCCAACCTTACCTGATACTGTCATGTCTTCCTCCAGGAGCAGTCGCCTGCCAGCTCCGTCTGACGTTGACCCGGATATCGTGGTGAAATACCTCGAGAGATTGGGGGTTACTCCCGAGACGACAAGGGCAATCAGAGATGAGGTGCGTGCTGAGTGCTGTGGTGTTGCCGCTGGCTTGCCTAAGGGGTCGTGGGAGCCAAGGCTTTGTTGTGTCGTCGAGGTAACCATTCTGTTGCGGTCGATCGTGCCACACCGATCTGGGTTATTCATCGACAAACAAGAGGTTTACACGAAAGACGATGGTCTCTGTCGAGGTGTTGGGGCAAGCGGAGTGTCTCAAGCCCTTTCGGAACGATTGGTGTTTGCCGGCATGCCAAAGCCAAAAGGCACCAAGTTTGACCGCAAAATATATCCCCTTCGAGTGTAGTTATACCTCGAACGGGTAGTCTTTCTGTGTGTATATTCGTTTCTCCTAATATCTACATTCACAAGCGCACTCGTGTTCTTGCCTGTTTGCTTCAAGTAGAGATGCGGAGGTTCAATGGACGTATAAATAGGAGCAGGTGAACTCTAGGATAGTAAGTGTGTGCGGCGGTCAAACCGCGCCATCCCGATGGATCGCATCTGACTGCAACTCCTCGAGGCAGGTACTGCTACACACCAAATAACGGGCATCTACCATTCCGTGGCTGACCGCGAGGCAAGCAGCGGTAGTCAATCAAGGCTTAGCTGGAAAGGGGGGCATTGCGCAATCATCCGCCACGAGCTGGCGCCTCCCCCGCTTAGGCAAGCGTAACCCCGCAGCCGCCAGCCATGTACTGCTGCTGTGCCTTTTACGGGGGCTTGCTTTTTCATGGACCCAACGACGATTGTCAGCAGCACTATCATATATAGCAGAGAGAAAGAGGATCACACGCACGGCGCCGACACTCTGTTATCCCAGAAGTTTTACCATGGAAGTAAGGTTTTGCTGAAACTCTCCCGTCGTCGCCTCTTTGCTGGGGCTGAACTCGAGACCAAAGAGTGTAATAGTACTACTGGAGACTCGAGACCGCATTTTTTTTTTTTTTTCGTATATATGACACAACGAGTCCATCTCTATCATTGATAAGAGTCAGAGACAGATTGACAATGGAATCATAGCGCCAGACAAAACTACCTGTATGCCTACGATTTCCCAGACAGCATATAGGGACATCTCCCCTGCGGATAACAGGCTCAACAAATCAGTTTGGTAGCTGTCTTGTGTGTCATATATGTTATGTTGGGAAGGTGCAGACGAAGGTTTTGGGTACTGTTGGTTAGTCGGGCGTTATGTGTGTCGCACCCTGTTAGTTATAGGACATGCAATCTCCATCAGTTTACAAACGTATTTTCAGTTTGGTATGTATATGTGCGGAGTATATGCGGCTGATGTGCGGGCACACGGGAGTGGTCTCACCGTTCCCCCCCCCCCCCCCCCCC